GTCTCTCTAACAGGAGTCAGGATTTTCAGAGAAGCATCCACAACTCTGCTGGAAGTCAAGAGGAGCTCACTGTCTCCTCTAGGAAGGAAATTCTGTACTTTTTGTGATGAAGCACTGGACTAATGTCTCTTGGTTGGGCAGAATATTCATTCAGGTTTCCATGGGAATGGGTCTTTCCAGACACATTCCTAGATCTTCTCATCTGAATCCTAAAAGCAGCATTCTGTAATTCACAGTTTATCATAGGTGCCATATCTCACTATATGAGGTACACAGTAGCATCTTTAACTACATTCACCATGCAGCATCATACTTTTCTAATTTCAATTATGCAGGATGTTAATTGGTCTTGAGAGAAATTACCGAAATGTAAATTTGTATTTTTTATTTATTTGCATCAATTCAAAAATGGAATAACTTTTCTTTCTGCAATAACTCCAGAATAAAAAATAATAAAATTAGTTTCTGTAAGTCAAAAAATTGCTATGCAAAAATCCTGAATAAGTAGTCTAACATAGAGGCTGAAATAACAAAATGAAAAATAAGAAGAAATTAAAAAAAACCCACAGCACTCCTGATTTTTAAGACAGTCCTGTTATTTAAGAAAAAAACTTTAATCTCTGAGCACTTGAAATTGTTGATTTAACATATGTTCTAGCTGTTTAGATGCTGGAGCTAATTTAATAACAAACCACCAAGCTGCAGGATGATGTAGCAGCTATTGCATCTATCTTATGTCAGACACATTTACTCTACCTTGTAATCAAAGTTTTCATTTAAGAAGTTTTTACGAAGGGCATCCGAAAGGTACAAGACTGTAGTAATGATCACACTGGGAAGAAAAGAATGAAAAGGACAGTAGTTTTCATTAAGTGGAAATTCATATTTAATACTCAGAGCCAGACAAATTTCCAGTGAAGAAACAGACATAGCATGTACAGTGGCATTAAATACTACATTTTAAACATACACAAATATCTGACTACTAACAGAACCTATTGACAGAAAACATGTATATTAAGAAAAAAAATAATAAAAATAGGTGTGACATAAGAATGCGTGCTGAATAAAGATGTTCTGTATAGAAGAATATAATTGATCAAAAAGACAAACCATAAATGCTGTTCTGCAAATAATGCAGATATCAGATTTAATACACACTTTGTCATACTAGCACTAATATATACAGTTGGGCAATTTGCTTTCAGCTTTCTTGGTACTGAAAACATGTATGTATAGATTATAAATAGGAAATATCCAGTAATTACCAGTATACAATATTGACAGCCCTATGGTCAAAGAGTCTTTTTAATGACAACAAATAAATGCAAAACATATGTTACCAACGGTCATACACTGCCCTACACTGACACCTGCCTGAATTATATTAATTTATCTTGTATTATATATTTAATATACATATTTATCTTG